TGGATGCATGCCCTTCACTGGCGTGTGTATCAAACTCTCTCAGGTTATTAATGCATTGCTTCATAGCTCATAGGATTGATCACCTTGTCAATATACAAATGCTGTATTGGTAAAAGCTACTTTTGTGCAGATTCCTGAAACTTGAGTGAGAGTGGGAGAAATTAAATTCTCTTTGTGAGGAATAAGGGAATGTCATCAGTGATAGGTGACAAATCTGGGTTCATTTGCATTGAAAAGGATGTCAAAGAGAGGGCTAGAGGAGACCCATTCTGGACAACTTAGAGCAGCCTTGCCCAGCCTGCAGCCCTCCAGATGTGTTGGACTGCAAAGGCCACCATGCAGAGCCAGTGGTCCTCCAGATTGGGAATGATGGGATTTGTAGTTCAAAACATCTGGAGGACACCAGGCCAGGGATGGGCTGCCTTAAGCAGCTCTATCAGAGAAGGGGGAAACGGTCAGTGTATAAAGAGGTTTCTTCCTTTATTTTTGTTATGCTTAGCAAAACATTTGCTTGTTTTTGCGCCGTACAAATCTGAGACATGGTCATCAACCTTAAAAACTGAAAACCATTGAAAGGAAACAGTACAAAGAATAATACGGAGTAACTCAGTTTACATTGGATAAGCTATCTGGCACATTCTTAATCCTAGGCATTAGTGACTTCATGCAGTTTCTGCCATTTCTGAGTTCTTTCTGAATGAGATACTATTGAATGTTTTCCAAAGTTCCTCCTAGTCCGATATGAATTGGATTGTTAATTAAATTGATAACCAGGGAAGGTGTGCTACATTCCTTCAAGATTAACTAAACAAAGTCCTTGTATTATTTATAAACAGAAACTCTCTTTCCATAATAACCGCTGCTAGTATTAATGTAATGAAATAGACACGACTGACACGGATAGTCATAAAAAGACATGTGATTTTGAGTGAAAGGGAAAGTACATTCTCTTAATTCAGAGGGTTGCTGTCATGAACATGGCAAGTTGCTATAATGTACTGAAACACTCATAAGAAATGTAATAAAATAAGAAGCTCTGCCATGAAGCGTGTAAAGTCATGGCATGGATTATGAGCTGGTTGAAACAGTCATAATAATTAGTTGGCTTTCATCACAACATAAGGCTAGCAGATGATATTTTCCAGAGTGAGTGTTATTTTAGTCCGCTGCAGCAAAAGTAATGGTCTTGTGGCCCTTTCAAGACTACCATATTTATCAGGCATCAGCTTGTGTGGACTACAGTGGCTACCCAAACATGGCTGCCCCTGTAGAACTTTTTGGGTTAGGTTTGCATGATCATTTCCAGCCATGGTGGAATAAGATTATAATTGAATAAGACACCCCCTGCTCAGGAGTGATGTGAAATTAGTTGTTAGGTGAGGTTAACAAACCACCCAGTACCTGTGGGCACATGCCATGAATCGCAGTGTCTTACTTAAGGTACTGTGGCAGAACTTGGTTGTGTCAACTGGATAACTGTGATTAAAGGCTCCAGATTTAGCTGAATGAAGTGGCTAAGTATCAGTTCATGCAAATAAAATGGATTATACTCTACAACAGTTTATGCCATAATGAATTTGTTCCTCTTTAAGGTACCACAAAATTATTTATTGTTTTGCTTCAGCATAGCTTGTGGTGCAATCAAAGTTAGCTAACTGTTTGAGTTGTTTCTGCTAGTTCATAATCCATGGTATGACTTCATATTCTTCACTGTTATTTTCTACAGTATCTCTCTTAGATGTTTTAGATCATATTTTGGGGTTCAGTTCTGGAATTGGATTTAGTACCATTAGGTGGCAGTGCTGTATTCACTGACTTGAGAGCATGTCCATTGAATCCAGTAGGATATGTGCAGTGACAGCTGATGGATTGTCGCATTTGTTTGAAAAGTTACATTGAATTTTTGAATAGTATAGATGGCACCAAATACAAATTATCCTGTTACTTTTAGGGGAAGAGTACCATTGGTTGTTTTTATCAACTCTAAGGCAGAAAAGTTATAACAGGATTGGCTATCTACCTAAATGTTTTGGAGTGGAGCTGTGATGATCTGATTCCAGGCATTTGCTCTGACATGAAGTTCCACTTTTTAATATTATTATTACATTTCTATACTGCCCGTAGTTCCGTAGTTGAAGCTGTCTCGGTGGTTCACAACATTAAGTCACCCATCCAGATTTCAATCAGAGCTGACCCTTCTTAGCTTCCAAGATTGGGCAGGTTCAGGCACTTCAGGCTATACAGAAGCTAGCCATCCCCAAGTTTTGAAGAATCCATACTTACAAACAAGCTGCCATAAAGCTTTTTAATTAAAAATACTGCAGAAAATCATCATGATCATAGAGAGATGGAAGCAAAGGAGAAAGAGGGAGCGCTCCGGAGCATGTGTGGTTTTTCCACTTTTATGGGGACCCTGTGCACCTAACCCCCTCAAATGTGGATGGTTGACTATATGTGATCTGATCTACATACAACTTCGACTTAAAGAAAAATTCCATTTTCTCAAGAGCAAAACTTGTTCACAACCTGGGTACTGTCTATATAGCACACATTCCCTCTCCCTCTATGTACTATTTGTAAAGCTATTTATCCTCTTGCAAAGAAATAGATAAACAAAAAGAAGACATGGCTTCTGAAAACAAATGAACAAACATAATTTCCAGCAGAGTGTCCCTATTGCATCACTCTGCAGAACTGAACAATATGGCACCCGGTTGCCTCACCATAAGATCACTCCTGTTGTGCTGTGCCTCAGCTCGGCCACAGCTGTTGCAGTGTGCTTTTTGAAACCACCCAGTTGCAGCAGAAATAATGAGCATGTGAAGACTGGCTAAGGCCCCTCAATGCACATATGCATTTGGCCAGTGATTGCTGGCTGCAGGTACTGCCAGCACTGGGCACTAAACTCCCAATGCCTTTTGGTACCTACAAAGCCTCCGCTGATAAGTACTGAGTCATACTGAAGACTCTGAACCCGGAAATTGTAATGTGTAAGCTAGCCTTCCACTGATACTTGTTCCTGGCTCAGATTTCAGGTACATTGTTTATATCACTGTACTGTCACTTGATAAATGATTCATGCTTTTATTATTTTTCCTTTCAGCATACAGGTGTAAAATAAATATGATCTTTGCTTTCTGTGGAAAATTTCATTGCCTTCAATGGATGCACATTGCAGAGTTATTCTTTGTTCTGCTGCTTATTCTTCCCCATGTCCCACCCAAAACAATTTCAGTAGCTGTGTAAATGTTTTTGTTCTGATCTAGCAACTACTTCCCGACCACCTTTTTTGAAAACGTTAATTGCTTTGCTTCCTAAGCAAAAGTTCCTATTAAACTCTTCACCTCCTTTACAGCATGGGCGAAGTCAAAAGAGACTATTATTACAGTTCCTTCCTTCCAGTGTATTACTGAAATTGGACATGCTGAGAGGATTCGCTGTTTTGGCAACTGATACGTTATCTTTTGGTTCTTGTTATTTATAGAGGGCGTGTTTGCACCACATGCCCATCAGTCTGCCTGACAATAATGCTGCTGCCTTTTAATTTCTGCCAGAAGTCAAGTTGTGAACTGAACTAGGTTTTTGCTTACCATCTTTAAATGTTTCCGGAGCTTGGGGCATTTTATTAAGAAAACATACCAAACATCTCCCTGATAGAGCTTTACATTTAGCAAACCAATAGAGCCTTAGCAGGCACCCCACACTAAATCACCCCCTTTTGCACTTTTCTGAATTGTTAGGACCATCCATTCACCAAGCTATTTATAATAGTTTATTCTTTTTATTTCACTAGATTTATATCCCACCATTTTCCTCTTGAGAGGAACCTAAGGTGGCTTACATAGCTCCATTTTATCCTCACAACAACAACCCTATGAGGTAGGTTATGCTGAGTAGGAGTGACTGGCCCAAGGTCACTCAGTGAGCTTCAGAATGAAGTGGGAACTTGAACTTTCCCTAGTCTTAATCTAGCACTCTAACTAGTGAGAGCAAGTATGGTTAGTGGTTAGAGCACTGGACTGGGACTTGAGAGATCTGGGTTCTAGTCCCCACCTAACCATGAAGCTCAGTTGGGTGACTTTTGATCAGTCACTTACTTTCAGCCTAACCTACCTTAGTCGGGGTTTGGTTAGAAGGATAAAATGGAAGGGAGAAAAACTTTGTAAGCCTCCTTGCAGTAGGAAGAAAGGCAGGATATAAATGTAGCATTATTCCTATTATTTTTATCATCATCATCATCATCATTTACTGCCCAAGTAACAAGGCATGGATTACAATAAAAAGTTCTAAACAACAATAAAATAACAATTACTATTATATGTTACATTGTAAGTTTGATTTTAGTGTGCTATTTTTTTCTGTTGCTTGCTGCTGATTTAATTTTTGTCCTTTTCATGTGCTGCTGCTGTTGTTTTGAAATACTGATTATAAGCCATCCTGGAAACTGTTGAGCTTGATAAAATACTCTGTTCAAGGCACAGAATAACTTTTTGACTGAGCAATGTCCACAAAATGTATGAATCTAATAGTGCGAGCCTATACATAGCTTAGAAGTACATCCCATTGATTTCAGTGGGGTTTACTGCCAGATAAATGTGTGTAGGATTGCAGATTAAGTCGCTTTTGCATCATTAACATGGACAGCAGCCACTGGTGTGCAATATTCAAGCAGAAGTCTGAATAGATGGGTGTGTGCAGAGTTTCTGTGAAGCTTGTAAAACCTTTGACAAACAACTGCTAATTTGGATGGTGTGGAACTGATACTGTAAGTACAGCATTGCCACAGGAGATTAATAACCCTGCTGAGGTTAAAAGACTGGAAAACATCCAGCAGACTTCATTTGACAAGCCCATGTTAGAACTATTAGATACTGATTTAGATCTTTGTTTAAAAAAAAAAAAAAACTTGGATCGTTCTCAGAAGCTGTGGGGGTAGATTTAAAGCCTTTCCCTCTTCAGTGCTAACATCCTCTCACCACTTCTTCTTTTCTCTCTGTTAGGTATGTGATGTCAAACAAGTAGGCAGTCCTCTGTCGCCTCCCCCGCACTGTTGAAACATCATGTGCCAGTATGAATATTAACACAGACGTGCACACATCCGTGCTCTGCAACCAAAGAAGAGAAGAAGAGAAACTAAGCGTTTGGCATCAGTGAATGGACTGCTTGCAAAACTCGGTCTAACTTCTGTGGAGAATAATTCCTGTTTCTGCTGTTGAAAAAGAGCTGAACGGATACCAGATCTCCTCCTTTCCCCTATTTAAACTGGTATCTTCCTTTTTTGCTTTGGATTTTAGGCTTTGAGCTGCAGTGGACCCAAGCGCTGGACACCAATATGTGTCATGTCATTGTCACTTGCCGCTCAATGCTGTGGACCCTCCTGAGTATCGTTGTGGCATTTGCAGAGCTCATAGCCTTCATGAGTGCTGACTGGCTGATCGGCAAGGCAAAGCCTGGGCGCTCTGAGGACATGGACAACAGGACAGGAAGGTCACAGGAACCCTATCGTCCAACTCTGGGGATCTATGGGCGGTGTATCAGACTCCCGCACGTTCAGTCTTCCTTGCCAGACACACTTTGTGGCCCTTATGCAGAGAACTTCCAGGAAATTGCCAGTGGTTTCTGGCAGGCCACTGCTATTTTTCTTGCCATGGGGATCCTGATCCTTTGTGCTGTCGCTTTTGTATCTGTTTTCACCATGTGTGTACAGAGTATTATGAAGAAAAGTATTTTTAATGTTTGTGGGCTGCTACAAGGAATTGCAGGTAGGTGTGTGGAGCAGAGACTGAAGCACCTTTGAGACGCTTGCAATACATATGTGGAAAAGAGGCATTCCCGCTAAGATTTTCCTTTCTAGATAGTTTTCTTCTATTCTAATGAGATACCTCCAAGTAAAGAAACAGATAATCTGAATCTTCCTAGGATCAAAGAACCTCCAGATAGATCAGTGGGACAATGATTGAGGGCAAGTGTTCCACGATTGTTCGGGATCCCCCAGGAAGGGAGACTAAAGGGGAAAAAATCATTGGAGGAAACAGGACATTTTCAGTCCTGGGGCCCATATGCTGAAATGCAGGACCACCTACTTTAATATGTTTTTAAGTTGTCTGTCTGACTCTGATTTTTCCTTTTCTCTCTGGGGTGGTTCAGATGTAATGTCAAAGTGGGTTTTGGTGTGAAGTTAGCAGGCCTTTAAGGACCTCCTTATGTGCTCCTCCACCAGGTTTTATTTATTTATTACATTTGTATGCTGCCCCATAGCCCAGGGGCTGCTGGGCGGCTTGCAATGAAGATAAAAGCAATTAGCATAACTTAGTAAAACCATCAAACAGATACCACTTTCTGCTTCCCTACTTCAAGGTAAAATCAGGATTTGCTGTTATTACCTGAATCAGTATATCAGCCTTACCCAACTGGTGTCTTCCAGATGTACCAGTCAGCACAGACAATGGTCCATAAGCCCAAAACATCTGGAGAGCTTCATATTGTGGAAAGCTGCAATAAACTGGTTTATATTTGAGAACCAAGTTTTATGTTAGTTTCAAAAGCTTGGTTCAGGGATAAGTATTAATTATACTTTGCTGATTTGGGGGAAAAATGGTTTCCTGAAGCCAAGAAAATAAGGAATCATGGTGGCAGTGGAGGAGGAGGGAGCCAGCAAGCCTGCATTTAAAGCAGGATGCAGAATCTTGGGCTCTGGGAACAAATCCAGCTTTTCTGGAGTTTCCAGCTGGCCTTCTGGAGTTCCCTGATGGCCATGCTCTTTTCTTCTGTTCCCACCGCATTTTTCCCAGTTGACCACCAATCATTTAATCATTTCCTGACTTTTCTGCAGCTTTTCCACCATTCTGAAAAGTTAAAAAGGTTCTTCAAAGGTTTAGCCACCAGTAGTATGAACTTTAAACTAAAGCAAGCTGGTATGTTTTTGTATTTTGGCCTTGCCCACCACTGAAATGTAGGCTAAGAGGGCTTACCTGACATGGAATTCAACCTTTGGACTGAAAAAGCTTTGACAACCTTGCTTTAAAAGCTCGTTCACACAGTGATAAAGCATGATGTGGCATATATGGAGCAGTAAGCAGGGTTCTGACTCTCCCTTATCACATCTTTGCCCTTCTCCTAAGACAATCCTGAAAAGAAAGAAGAAACTGCAGTGATGTTCCAATCCCCACACTGCTTCTAGATTCCAACACTTCTGGGTGTCTACTGGCTTTACAAACACACTGCCATTAATATGAATAGTATCCACTGAACGTTTGGCTTTTGTTAGATGGAAAACAACGACCCATTTTTAAAGCATTGAGTTCCTTGCAAATTACTTCATGGCTAGAGTATTAGTAATCTTGAGATGACTCCTTATGGAGTTCACTGATGCTGTCAGGATTTCATTACTGTATATGGATTGCTGTTGCTAGTGTTCTTGCTGATGATGGTCCACAGCTATGATGCATAATCTTCTTCTCTTGCAAATTGCTTAAGCAAATGGTTCAAGTAATTTCTCAGCATGGCTGAAAGGACATAGTGCAATAAAAGGACTGAAGTTCAATTAATAGTGGGCTAGTTAACTGAGATCATGAAATCTGTCCTGACAAGATCTGTTTTTCACGGTTGCTCTATAAAGGGCAAATATTTTTCAAACTAATTGTGGGTTTTGTTTTAATGTGTGGCTGGAGCATGGGAGACTTTTTCCCTAAATTTGATCATTTTATAATTCTGCGAGCAGCCAAAGCTGTAAGTGCTTTCAAGCTTTCAGGACCCCCTTGATTAATTGGAAGCAAGTTCCATTGAGTGCAGAGTAGTTACTCCCTAATAAGTGTGGGATTACAAACCAGGTTATCTTCAAAAATGTGCAGAAATTGTTGTGAGTAATGCTTTATGTGTTCCTAGAATTTGTCAGGGTGAAGAGGAACACTATATGCCAGTTGCTGAATTTCTCTGCAATTTGTCAAGGCTGTGACTTAAATGATCTGTAAATTGAGGCTTACAGAATTGGCTTCTGTTCTTCTAAGGTTATATTCCAAGGGATTTATCTGCATAAACATGCCTGCCTGCCAGGTCACTGTGAGCCCATCCTTATCTTGGTCCAAGGAGCTTTTTAGTCTGCCTGCAAATAATTTGTCTCCTGATTAGAAAGTTCCTCTTGGAATTCCTGTTGTCTTCCAATGTTCAGAGTTTGTTTCTTCTGGGGAAGCAGCAGTCTTCATTTTGTAAACATGTGGAATGAGATTGTTCAGGAAAAACACATAATTGGCTTCAAAAGACCTAAGAGCAATGGAACCATATCATTAGATCAGTAAATGGTACTTAACAAACAAAAGAGACTGGACAGGCAGTTGTTATAAGCATCTTTTGGGGAGTACATAAGCTATTTTTAAGAAGGCCATGAATCACTTGGAAAATCTGATGTAAGCAATTTTGTTCTTAAAATAAGAAATAGGGAATTAATTTTAAATGCATTGATTGTAATAATAGCTTCCTCTTTTCAGTGAGTAAATTTTAGCAGTATGTATATCATGCCATTGTTTCCTGTCTCCAGGTATACTTAGGCTTTTAGTAGGCTTATCACTAGAGATGCATGTGGAAGAAAAATAGAGGGCTTGCAAGTGAGTGAATTTACATCTTGTGGCTAAGATCTGTGAACACCAACTGCACTTAGATGTCACATCCAAGGACTCTTTCACTGTGTTGACAGAATGAGAGAAGTCATGGTGGTTTAACATCTTATCTTGAACCCAGCACTCTTCCCTTTGGGTGGTTTGTAAGCCACTCCAACAGCCATGGCTGGTTGCACAGTTTAATAGTTTCACTTTGGCTTACTGTGTTGTGCAGATCCAGGCAACAAAACAAGTCATGGTTGGACTGAAAAACCGGAGAGCCTTTGTCAAGTGTGGCAGAAAGTTGCTTCTCTATCCAGGGGACTAGTGGCTTGCTACCTTCTCAGGCACCACAAAGTTGCCCTTGGGAACAGCTGGGAAAGCCTTCTCTCCTCACTGCATCCGGAATAGTTCAGCAGTGAGCTTTTCTTGTGCTTTGTTTTCTTAAGATCATAAAAGCTGTGGCTAAAGGTTGCTTTCCAAACCTGCTTTGGGCATCCAGGAAGTGAATCCCCAAGGATGCGCACTGGAGGAGGCACAGATCCCTTGATGAGCCTGATTGAGCACAGAGGAATTTTAACCACAACACGAAGTTAAAACTCCCACAAGATTGTGCAAATCCGGTCTTCATCTGTTCAAAAGTATGAGGAATTGGTTGAGGTGGATGATGCTGTTGAATCATACGTGGAAAATGAGGGAGCACTTGCAGATAAAGTAACCATGTCCCCTGAGAAATTCAGTGAGTGATGTCTGTAGCATTATGTTTCTTTCTGTCACTTTTCCAAGAGCCCTTTCATACACACTCTCTGTGTGACATGGGACATGTCAGTCCATGGCCACTTCTTCCCCAACCCCACCCACTGTGTGTAGAGGGAAATGTTAATACCTGTGATCAGCATATGACTGAAGGTAAGTGCTTTTCCGTGCTCAATACTAGAAAAGACTTGCAGAGTGGAGATACAGTCTTTTCCCTGTGGGAGAGCAGGAGCAGAAATGTAGCTGCTGGATTATTTAGTCTCACTCCTTTTGAGCCTTGTCCTACTTCAGACTGAGCTTTGCCCACCAGAGGTCCCTCCTACTTACTTGTGTGTAGACATGATGTCTCTTAAGTAGATATGCAGAGTCATTGTGGTTGAGATACTATTTGAAAGTGCTGCTGAGGGATTCACGCCTGCTTACTACTGAGGCTTGTCCTGAGTATTTGTGAGTAGCTGTGTTGCTCATGCTTACTTCTGAGCAAACATGCTTCCTGCTGCAAGATCAATAACAATGGAATTTGAGGCGAATTGGTTTTTTAGTCTTGCCCACTGGAACATAGCCCCAAGAGTTTCTCCAAAATGGAATCAGGTCATCGGGTGAGAAAAGGCTCCTCAAACCTGAGTGAGTGGTTGAGAATGTTCCAGATGGAGGAATCCTGACACTACCAGTCTTAAGACATTATGTAGCTATTCCTTATGTTCCTCCTTAATGGATATTCTGTGGAAATAAAAATTTCTGAAGCAGCAGTAGGAAAACACAAGAAGTTTAAAACATTGGAAGACATTATCTTGGCCTCCCACTGAATTCCATGAATATGGCAGGACAATTTCACCTTAAAAGTCTTGGCTGGATGCATCTCATGTTCCCCCTTTTTCCTCCTGCTCCCTTTCACCCCCATTTCTGTTAGTATCAGATTTTTGAAATGCTATGCCTGAAACTGGTGACACTCTTCATCTGGGTGCAAAGCTTCGGAAGGCCTAGGTGGATGGGGATGGGCCATGGACAGCCCTTGAATAGAGGAGTGTAGTATTTTATACACAGGCATACACTCACTTTCTAAAAATGGAAGGTAATGGGGCCAACACAAAAAGTAGGGCTGGGGAAGCCTGGATTCCCTACATATTTGAAAGATAGCAGTGGAGATGCGGGGAGAGAATTACAGGGACTACAATGAGAGTAGGGGAAGGTTAGTAATTTGTAGCTTTGTTGAGGCTAGCTTGCAGCTTTTCAATAGAAGCCTGTAGTAATACTTTAAAAAGAATCTGTTACAAAGAAACCAAAGCAGAACATAGATATGAAGTTATCTAAACTGTAGGAGAACAGCCAACAAGCCTCAGCTTATTTTGTCATCTGGGTGAAATCCAGGGTAATGTACAAAGGCATGAATAAAAAATAATCACACGATATAGATA